TGGGTGTGTATTTAGTGGTGGGGGTCAGGTGAACACATATACACCATTTACTTTTGTTCTCCTAACAGGGAACAATGTTGACCTCATTTCAAAGGGCCTAATACAGAGCTAGGGCTAGATTTCAATTGGTTGCTCTCACACAATACACACCCATTAGCCTACATATTAAATGTATAGATCGAATGTGACATACAACTTTGCAGTTTTATTGAATTCTCCATGTGGTCTGTGTTAAAGGGAACTTCATTTAATATAACAGGCTTTTAATTCTTAAAAGTGTAAGTATATAAAAATATATATTTGATAAAATATTGATATAGTGGACCGCCCCCACGGCCGACTTCGCCCAGCCCGAGGTGGCCGACTGGTCCGAGGGAGTGGCAGAACTCATAGGCTTACATTGGTTTACACAGGCAGCCCAATTCGGATATTTTGCCCAATTAGTGGCAAAAGAGCTGATCTGATTGGTCAAAAGACCAGTTAGTGGAAAAAGGTCAGAGTTAGGCTCCCTGTGTAAAAGCACACTTGTCTGCCTGAGGTTAAATGGCTGCATTTACACAGGCAGCCCAATTATGTGAATTAGGCTGCCTGTGTGAAAGTAGCCAACGAGACATACCTCCCAAACTATTTTACACAGCAGACATTCCAGAACACATGTTTCAGGTTTCAAAATCCACATTGTTTGTTCTCTTCACTCTGTACCTGTCCACATAGCAACCCCAATTACATTTTTCGTTCTCTTGAAGAGAATGTTCTAACAACCTGTCTGAACATCATTCAAGGCAAGGTACCTCATGCCCTTATCCAACCTGATGACTTGGAGAGAGCGAGAGGGAGACTAACAGGTACCCTGCCTCTTTAAGATAATTAGCTAGGCAATCAATTAGTCATTGTACAACTGTGTTTTCCTAAATTGAACTACCCTTCCACTCCACACACTCTGTCAATGAGGCCAGTTGCCATGGACTTCTAATCAAAACAACGTTTATGAAATGACCATCATGTGAAATGATAATGAAACATGCTATCAGCCCTGGTTAAAAATCAATGCAAACATGAAATGTGGGGATATTCGCAGGTAAGAAACAAACTATTGTCTCTATATAGTTGATGGTCAAAAACGTTTTTATCTTAATAGCTGTAGGCCTATTATTTCCTTATATATTAATTGCCAGAAATACAGGTACGATGCACACAGAAAGCCAGAAGCATGGCTCATCTCTCCAGTGTTGAGGATTTGCCAACAAGAAAACAAAAGAGAGGCGGCAGAGTTGGGGGCTCGGTCACTTTTAATGAAGAGATAAGTTAAGCGGAAAGATATTGGACCTGACAGATCTGTAATCAACAGACTACTTATACAGTACCGTATTAGAACATTACACAATGGAGAAGAGGAGAGCAGGGAAAGAGAAGAAAGGGAACCAGCCGCCCTTCTTTCTCTCTTTCCTTTGCTCTCCATAGTTCAGCTGTTAAAGCACCAACCAGTACAATCAACAATCACTGAGTGACTGTTCAGTGCCAGTCTCTTCAGCTCCAAGCTCCCCATCAACACAGTTTCCCTGTATGGAATGCTCTTGTCATCACTCAGAGAGAAACTGTACAACCATCATGGCTCCAAAGATGAATCTGGGCTGATCTGTCAAACTGCAGTTTAGGAGAAGCTCACCAATCGAACGCAGTAAGTTACTGTACTTTATATTTGTGTTTTCTAGCCTGGTAATATAGTCTGTTTTTGCTTTAGCCAACTCCTTTCTGTGTTCATTCATTGCCATGAAGAGTTGGCTACAGAACCCTGAAAGTCTAGGTCCAGCCTATGTGTTGTCTACACCTTTTTGAGGAAGGGACAGGTTGAGATGCATGTGAAATACTATAGTGAATCAGATTGGTATGACCAATAGTGTCATTCATGTTCATGCATTATTGTGGAGCATTATTTACGTCAACACAAGTGACAACCAAAATGTAACCATAAGTTGTTAAAGCACCAACCAGTACAATCAATCATCACTGAGATTTTGTCTTCTAAATATTTGATTGTGTTTATTTTTGGCACCACTTATGTTAATGACTCAAAGATGGAGGCGTGGTCAAATGATTATATGGGTAAAAATGGCTATTATTATAGGTAGGCCAAGTCATGCTATGCCTCCTTTCTCTATTTCTCCGTAAAGCTGGTAAAAGAAACTCCATTTATAACGGGGCATGTTGTGCCAACACAAATGTTGTCTGGCATCTTCTTGTTGACACAACAGATATTTTCTCTCTTTTGTACTTTTTGTATTTACTTCCTCTGTCTTAGCAAGAAAAGGCTGGGCTGTTCTCAGATCTGTTTGTACTGTCTTGCCAAATCATATGGCATCTCAACACAGTTTCCCTGTATGGAATGTTATTTTCATCACTGAGAGAAACTGTACAACCACCATGGCTCCAAAGATGAATCTGGGCTGATCTGTCAAACTGCGGTTAAGGAGAAGCTCACCAATCAAATGCAGTAAATTACTGTACTTTATATTTGTTTCCTAGCCTGGTAATATGGTCTGTTTGTTCTTCAGTCAACTCCTCTGTGTGTTCATTGCCATGAAGAGTTGGCTACAGAACATACAGTCTAGGACCAGGCTACAGTGGGGGAAAAAAGTATTTAGTCAGCCACCAATTGTGCAAGTTCTCCCACTTAAAAAGATGAGAGAGGCCTGTAATTTTCATCATAGGTACACGTCAACTATGACAGACAAATTGAGAAAAAAAATCCAGAAAATCACATTGTAGGATTTTTTATGAATTTATTTGCAAATTATGGTGGAAAATAAGTATTTGGTCACCTACAAACAAGCAAGATTTCTGGCTCTCACAGACCTGTAACTTCTTCTTTAAGAGGCTCCTCTGTCCTCCACTCGTTACCTGTATTAATGGCACCTGTTTGAACTTGTTATCAGTATAAAAGACACCTGTCCACAACCTCAAACAGTCACACTCCAAACTCCACTATGGCCAAGACCAAAGAGCTGTGAAAGGACACCAGAAACAAAATTGTAGACCTGCACCAGGCTGGGAAGACTGAACCTGCAATAGGTAAGCAGCTTGGTTTGAAGAAATCAACTGTGGGAGCAATTATTAGGAAATGGAAGACATACAAGACCACTGATAATCTCCCTCGATCTGGGGCTCCACGCAAGATCTCACCCCGTGGGGTCAAAATTATCACAAGAACGGTGAGCAAAAATCCCAGAACCACACGGGGGACCTAGTGAATGACCTGCAGAGAGCTGGGACCAAAGTAACAAAGCCTACCATCAGTAACACACTACGCCGCCAGGGACTCAAATCCTGCAGTGCCAGACGTGTGCCCCTGCTTAAGCCAGTACATGTCCAGGCCCGTCTGAAGTTTGCTAGAGTGCATTTGGATGATCCAGAAGAGGATTGGGAGAATGTCATATGGTCAGATGAAACCAAAATATAATTTTTTGGTAAAAACTCAACTCGTTGTGTTTTGAGGACAAAGAATGCTGAGTTGCATCCAAAGAACACCATACCTACTGTGGAGCATGGGGGTGGAAACATCATGCTTTGGGGCTGTTTTTCTGCAAAGGGACCAGGACGACTGATCCGTGTAAAGGAAAGAATGAATGGGGCCATGTATCGTGAGATTTTGAGTGAAAACCTCCTTCCATCAGCAAGGGCATTGAAGATGAAACGTGGCTGGGTCTTTCAGCATGACAATGATCCCAAACACACCGCCCGGGCAACGAAGGAGTGGCTTCATAAGAAGCATTTCAAGGTCCTGGAGTGGCCTAGCCAGTCTCCAGATCTCAACCCCATAGAAAATCTTTGGAGGGAGTTGAAAGTCTGTGTTGCCCAGCGACAGCCCCAAAACATCACTGCTCTAGAGGAGATCTGCATGGAGGAATGGGCCAAAATACCAGCAACAGTGTGTGAAAACCTTGTGAAGACTTACAGAAAACATTTGACCTGTGTCATTGCCAACAAAGGGTATATAACAAAGTATTGAGAAACTTTTGTTATTGACCAAATACTTATTTTCCACCATAATTTGCAAATAAATTCATTAAAAATCCTACAATGTGATTTTCAGGATTTTTTTTTCTCATTTTGTCTGTCATAGTTGACGTGTACCTATGATGAAAATTACAGGCCTCTCTCATCTTTTTAAGTGGGAGAACTTGCACAATTGGTGGCTGACTAAATACTTTTTTCCCCCACTGTATGTGTTGTCTACACCTTTTGGGTGAAGGGACGGGTTGAGATGCATGTAAAAGACTAGAGAATCAGATTGGTATGTTCATACAGTACACTATTGTGGACCATTATTTAGATCAACTTAAGTGACAACGAAACTGTAACCATAATATTTTGTCACTTATGTTAATGCCTCAAAGATGTAGAGGTGTGGAGTCAACAAATGATTATATATGTGTTAAGAGCGAACAAAGCCTGTCGGTCCTGGAAAGAGCAGTGATTACGTAGACAGACGGTGGATTCATGAATGACTTGGTCATGGTTTCATAGATTGACTGTAGGAATTGTTGAAAATTATTTTAGGTATTTTTCCTGTTCTTAAAAGTAGACAACATTCCCTTTTCATGGAATTGGTTCAGAAAATGGATGTCATTGTGCTTCTATGAACCAATTAATATGTTAGAGTAATGTACAGGAATTCAATGTTCCAAAATATTTGCTATCTAGCCCTCTAAATGTCATTAAGAAATTCCCATAAAGTACTGTACTGTTGAATTACTCTTTTGTCTTTTTTATTTAACCTCTTCCTTGCAATATAAGATTACTGAATTTCCTAGAAAATTGGCAATAAAGTATCGGAATGTAACATAAAAAAGGATGACTTTCATTCTGTTCTGTAGACCTATCATTCAATCATTGTCACTTCTCCTACATGGTTGTACATGGTTGTACTCTAGTGTGGTTGTAAGGGCTCTCTCTACTCTCCCCTTGTCAGGTGAGAACCTTGAGGACTCTACTACCTGTGGATGAGGATGCGGTCTACACTATCTCTCTGTGGAGGAGAAGGGGACGGCAGGGGCCTGAGGGCCCGGGTAGGCAGGATGAAGAGACTGCTGTGCCTTCGACACACCCACCGTGTGGACGTCCTGACAGACATGGAGCCGGGGGTTTGGCTGAGGCACTTCCAGCTGCTGGACACGGAGGTCACTGAGGTGAGTTGGTGGAAAGGTGATGTTTGCCCTTTCGTTATAGCTAAGGGCCAAAGAGAGTAGAGTTGGTGGTGGCATGGTGTTTCCCCTTTCAAGTGGGTGACTGGGTTGCCTGAGTGTCAATGCGTAGAGGATTAAAGGTCTGTCTGACTCAGTATTGTGTAAAGTACCTATCAAATGGTAATATATCATTTAGGAGGGTAGATTTGGAGGCATGGCATTTCCCCTTCCAGTTGGGTAAAAGAGTTGCTTGAGTCTCAATGTGTAGAGGCCGAATGGTTTTGACTGACTGACACCCTATTTAGTTATTGTGCATACACATTTGAGCAGTCATTTAGCTTGGTAGCTCCATTGCAACCATATAAATGTGAGGTATTGGACCTACAGGGACTTGGCAAGTGAAACCAGTGAGTGGGAGCTTCCTGAATATGACATGAAAACACTTTTCTTGAGTCAGAATATCCAGTTGAACTCAAACTGGTGTGGGATATATTGTTTTTTTGCCTTACTTTTGGATCTTCCTCTTACCAGGATTGATTTACAAGAGCCTGACGTCTCCAGTGACGTCAGTTGCAGAGCTAGGGTTGAGATTTATAGGGGCCAACTTTACTGTCTAGGTTAGGTTACTGCGTAAATGGTAAGAGGGAGTGGTCATGTGCTGTATAACAGCTGTCATGTACCTCAGTGTGAGGTGGTTTTATGTCAGAGCAGTGGTTGTTCTCATGTAGGCTGCTGCTTTTGTTTCCTTTGTTTTCAGCAACACAGTAGCTATTTTTGACACTGAGGAGGAAGGAAGTCCACCAGGAAGTGTGTCTATCTGTCATTTCTGAAGTGTGCTTGTTTTAACATGTCTCTTCTGATAAGCGCTATCATTTGGACATGTCCCACAGTTTTCATGAGAACATAAATATTGTTCCAAAAAGACAGTTTACTCATGTTAAAGAGAATACAAAATCGAGATGAATTTGGTTTGATGTTATCAAATCGGACAATTGTTGTGCGTTGTTGTGAATTCAGTGTGTGTGTGTCTCATTAACGTTAATTATTCACCCTGCACCCTCGGCTACCCTCTCTCATTCTCTTTGTCGTGCCTCTCTGGACTGACAGTGTGGCATTGGATGGCCATGGTTCAGATATTCAGAGGAGAGAGAGAGAGGGAAAATAAACTCATTAAGCAACAGTTACCCATTCTCCCCTTTTGAAACCCACTGTTTGCTAATGAGGGGAGTTTAGAATGGAAACCGCCATTGATCAAAAGCCATCTGCTGAGCTAGTGGTGGTTGACACTTTATCATTGGGCGGTCGCGGCGCTTTATCATTGGGCCAATTTAGGGATAAAAGTAGATTAGTGACAACTTTTTCAACAGATTTTAGTGCACTTGTCCGCCCTGAGACTGAAAGGTTGGGAGTTCGATCCCTGGCCGAGTCATACCAAAGACTGTAAAAATGGGAACCTGATGCGTCTCGCTTGGCACTCAGAATTAAGGAGATATGTTGGAGGTAAGGTCCTGCGATAGACTAGTGTCCTGTCCAGGGGGTGTACTTGTATGTTAAGCTGCCTCACGCTACAGAAACAGGAGATAGGATCCTGCTATATGAGCCGTTCTGGCTCGCACAAGCCAAGGCTCATGCAAGGCTATGAGAACACTGGGACTAAAGAGCTAATGTTCAGCTCAACAAAAACCCTACATGTTTCCCTTCACCAAATGATAAGTATGGTCTGCTTCTACGTCATTTTGGAACTGTCAGTCAGTCAGTAGGAAAGGACAGCAACAGGTGACACTGGCTTGGAACACTCAATAGGAACAGAGCAGACTTGTTTTTCTGTGGCATTTCCAACCACGCCATACCCCTTACAGACACCATGGGTTGAGAGGAGTCCTGAGAACTGTCCCGACTGGATTTCAGATTAGTGGCAGTAAGAAGGTATGACGGAGATGCCAGCTGCAGTCACCTGAGAAGCACATTACAGGCCTATTGTTCTTGCCTGAAGCATTTTCTCAGACTTGTGATAGTGTAAGACTGTTGAATATTCCCAAAACACTGATGGCAAAAAGATCATAGTGCCTCCAGTGTTTGAGAGTAGAAAGTGAATTAATGCATTTAATAAAATATTTCCAATGTTCCTGTTATGGCTATAGGCTATAGTATGCCTACCGTAATCAGACAGCATATATACCTACTAAGATGGTGCACATTTTGTTTATTTAATTTTTTAAATTATTGTCATTTGCCTAAATAGTCAGAAAAAAACATTACAAGTGTGAAAGTTGTGAATTACATGGCTGTCACTGTCAGTTTGTGACACTGCTGTCACCAAATCTGTGTTGACGTAAAAGCGCGTGGTATCGAGACTACCGCCCCACCCTCACCTGCTAGTACAGCGTCTGCTCTCGCGCTCAGGTGCTGTCACTGCGACTCGCACAGAATCCAGCTGTCGCACATCGAAACTCGCACAGACAAGCTGTGTCGTGGCTAGGCTATCGAGTTTTGAAGCCTGCTAAGAAGTATATTAATCTATTTTTTTTTAATGTCGTTTGAGTTGATAAAGTATATAAAATGAACTCGACATTATACGCAATTCATCAAGAATTGTTTGTTTGGTCGGATCAGCGACATCCCAGGTAATTTGCGGAACTAGGCTACTGGCTGTGTCATCCATTACTTATTTCGGTCACTCACGGATTACTTCATTGGAATATCAGTATCTACCAGCAGCAAAACAGAAGAAATGGCTCCCTAAACTACTACAAACTTTACCGTCTTTCATCAACTAAAACGACTGGGAAATATGGGGAAATGGCGTTTGTCAATGGTATTAGTCTTACCTTTATTCATTGCTAACTGTACTTCTTTTGAAATGTCTGTCTATCAATTACACAGCCTTTATATCCTGTGAGATTTTACTATTTAAAAAAACAGCCTACAATAATTTTAAACCTTCATAACTTGACTTATCAAATAAATACTTAATTTAATAACAAAGCAAATAATCAAAACTATTATTATAGGACCATATTGTGATATCACAACAGCTTTAACTCAATATTGTCTTCAAGATTTAATATTTCGATTTGTATGTCCTTTTGATTCTTTTGAAGGTCCATGTGCATGCATGTGTATTTATTTATGTGTATATGTACACACACCAGACAGGGACAGAACATTGAGCTAGCCTAATGGTCCAGTCCAGACCAGTGTACCATGGAGAATTATCAACAAAACTTGCATGTCTGGCATATGGAGGAGACCGACACAGACATGGAGGGGGCAGTAAATAGTGGCTCCTGTTCCCGTTCCCTCAGCAGCCAGCCTGTCTCCATTAGGTGTTGTATAATGACAACAAAACACTCATTTAGAGCCTATCGATGTTCTTTACGACAGGCTATGGATATCGACAGGCTTTTAGTGGCTGTGAATAGCATCAACCAGAGCCATATAGATAGATAGACGGAGAGAGAGTTTGGACATTGCCGTCTATATGACTCTCAGATCCAATATGTCTGATAGTGTGGAAACTTCCTTGTTTCCTCATTCTCTGTATATGGCTTAGTTCTCCATTGTGTGTTAGTGGGATACTAGCTAGAATTTTCACCCTAGAAGTTATTATTTTGGCATTCATGGGCTCTCTCTAGGGACTGAGAACTGCTAGATGTTACTGAAAAGTGTTACTCCAATTCTGTTAGCGACGTGAACAGAACACAGACATACTTAGAGGTTCTGTAGCGCTCTCTAATGCATGGGTAGGTAGGCCGCATGGATACAGTGAGTTCTGCTTTGCCTAAAAGCTACAGGTCTTGGTAGGGTCTTCTGGCTACCCACCCAGTCGGGTCAAAGTCTAGGGGCTACAGAGCTGGTGGCGCCACTCTCTGCCCTCTCAGTGAAACTGAAACTGGATTCTCTGGTTACATGGTCAGGGTATCACCTCTGTCTAGTCTATGGGATTATGGGCAAATATGGGCTATTTGGGCGCCTTCTGTATGTCAGGAAGTGTCTGATTGTGTCTCAAATGGCACCCTATTCACTATATAGTGCACTACTTTTGACCAGAGCCCATAGGGAATAGGCTGCCATTTGGGACGTACCCTCTGTAAGAAACGGTGTTTGGTTGGGTTTCACCCCATACAATGGCCTCTACTCTGAGAGAGAGAAAAAAGGAAATGCCATAGTGTTTTTATTTAATTGTATTTATTTGACCATTTAATAACACAATTCAACAAAACATGGATGCAATGCATTTAAAAACGTTGAGGATGACTTAAACGTATTTCCATTGTGGTCCTCTTTGATGGAGATTGAATATTATCTCTACTCGGCTCCGGATGATGGAAAGGGAGTTGATGCAGTTTGGGCTGGAAAGGCAGTATAGCTTGAGTGGAGGGAGCATCGATGTTGCACATGTCTTGCTAAAAACTTGTCACATTTTTGACATTGATCCTTATCCACTTTTAAATCTATAATTGCTAATTAATGTGCTCGTATACCGGTCAGATGGGATATAATCATATAGGAAATTCCACTGTTACCAAAAACATGTCTAGCTGAAAACATGCCACACGTTGACATTTAGGTCCCTATACGTTGTGAAATGTGTATTATCTATTTAATGACATCACATACCTGTTGCTGTACAGGCATGCAGTCTAATAGCAGGTGCCTCTGCAGCATTTACATTTGCATAGATCGATGTCTAGCTAAGGATGTGCCATACGTTTGACATTTCGGTCCCTTAACATTGTGAGATGTGCAATTAATGTTTAAAAAGCTCTCATACCAGCTAGACAGACTAATAGATGCCTCTGCAGTGCCATCATAGATATAATTCTCAGTTCAAGGTTGTTTGAAAGCAGCATCTGTGGAATGATGCTATTGACGTAGCTGTGCTTAAACTGCTCATTGCTTGAATGCTTTGAATGTGATGATCTCTACATTTGGCTTGTGGTGTTTGTCACAAAGCATGAGGAAAATGTAGGCCACTTCACTGCAGTTAAAGTTAAATGTCGATGTGAATTTAGTAGGACGGGCAAACCCATTTTGATTAATTGTGTGTGTGATGGCACTTTTGGCTAATGTCAACAAAACCCTTGTCTATTCTATTGAAGCCTCACCTCCACTCTCTTTGTCTCTCACCAGGACCCAGTGCAGGAGTGGGGGGAGGAGGTGGAAGAGGGGGCCGTGTTCGGCATAACCCTGTGTAGGGAGCCTGTGCTCCCCAGCCCCTCCACCCAGGACCCCTCAGACCCTCTCGCCGAGTCCCCGTCGACTCCATCGGCCTTCAACTTCATCCAGTATCACACAGTGAAGGTAAAAGCACTTTGAGAGAAAGCGTGATCAGAGAGAGAGATGGAGAAGGAGAGACTGGGGATAGATAAAGGACGAGACAATGAGAGAGGTGGAGAAAGGGAAGGATAGAGGGAGACAAGCACTTTGCGACAACTGCTAATGTAAAAAGTTCATTATGAACAAAGTTGATTGTATTTGATTGAAGGTGCGTCGGTTGAAGGCGGGGACCCTGGAGCGCCTGGTAACCCACCTGCTGGACTCAAAACACCAGGAACCTGACTACGTCAAAGTGTTTCTGTCCACCTACAGAGCCTTCACCACCACCAACACACTCATAGAACTGCTCTTCCAGAGGTGAGACACAGAATATTATTATATGGTGGTTGCTGTGTTTTGTTATTCAGAGAAACATACATTTAACAGAAATGTAATTAATTATGTGGCACAGTGCTGTTGGTCTTCCAGAGGTGAGATGGTTACAGAGACTATGTTACTTCTGAATGTTTTGTGAAATGTTAATTTAGCAGACACTTACTGTCAAGATAGGTTGGCTAGACGGATTAAGTGTTAAGTAGAAAACTTTAAATCTATGTGTTTTTGTAAATGGGAAAAGTCATTGAAAACAGTTATGACTGAAGACATCTTGTAAAGTAAACCCTTGAGTCTTGCCTGGAGTCCTTGGACTAGATGGGAACCATACAACATGACCTGAAATCTTATCAGACTAATAACCCCTGACTAACCTCTGAGGCTGCCCTTGGTTACACCTCTTTCAACAATATTTGGAAGGCATTTGACGTGATGCAGGAATTCTAATGTTCTAAGTCTGTCCTAGTTTGAATAATTCAGTGTCACCCCATACATATTTGTGTGACGTCGTGGGAGGCGACAGTCCCTCAGTTATGTGTTTGCCTAACCGGTTCCTAATTACCTACCACATGACAGATCCAACAAGAATGTTTACAGACTCCTTTTTAAAAAAGCTGCCTCATAGGTTATTAAGTATAGTATTTTCTGCAATAAAGTTGCTAAATTATGTTAACTTTCCAAAAATTCGGAGGTTTCCAGATATCATAGTTGGAGGATTCCTGGATCTTCTGCTTATTCCCTCAGGAAATCCAGGAATTCTCCAACCGGGATTTTTGGAAAACCTGGAAACCTTATTCTGCGATAACATTGTATTTAACTTTTCTGTGCTATCGACTAGTAAGACCCTTTACCAGTTCAGTAGTTTGCATTAAACTCCAGTAAAAAGCTATCTGCTCTGATCCATGACATTTAGAACCCTAGAGATAATGATTTATTGGTTGTTAAACAGTCACCCTCATTTCTGCAGCCCTGGTAGCAATAGTCTTCCTTTAGGCTGAAACTGACGTCACCATGAGCTAGCTCCAGGGTGCCTAGATTGTAATTGACAGCAATGGGCTTTCCACTGAAGGTCAGATCTCTGTAGTTTATATGTCAGTAAAGGGCTACTCTTGCTTGTCAGACTCATGGTGTGGGAGGAGAGTAGCAGAGGGCTAACTATTTCTGTGACATCGACAATGTTGGTCAAAACATTGCATTGTACCACTAAATCCCTTGTAGGAGCAGTAACCAGTGAGCAAACATTAGTTTATTTTCTAACTACTGCATATCTCTATTTCCATAGGGATGATATGATTGCCAACCTGGACAACACTGTCTGCCCAAGGAGGTATGAGTAACTTCACTCTCTCTACTCCTTCTACAATGTCTTCTCACCATAAAATACAAGTGTACTTTTAATTCATAAAAAAAACACCCTTGATATGAATCATCACCCCCCCCCCCCCCCCCCCCAGCACCCTTGTGCCCCTGATCAGAACCTGGCTAGAGGAACACAGGGAGGACTTCAGGGAACCCCCTCGGCACCCCTCCCTGAGGCTGCTCTGTTTCCACCTCCGCCACCGCCTCGCCTTCCGTCGCCTCGCACACACAGCTGAGACGCTGCTCAAGAAGCTCCAGGAAGAAGGTTGGTAGCGTTCAGTAAGGCACACCGTAGAGAAATGTTTTTCAACAGAAAACAAACTGGGTTTTTATTGGACAAATGTAGGTAGTACATCGCTGTTTCAAGATTTTATCCTTGCCCCTTTTTCTCACAAGCAAAAAACGGCATCCTATCTCACCAGTAGAAGTCTTACAAGTTGTGATTTTGCTAGGATGGTGGTACGGTAGTTAGTAACTCTTTTATTTTCTTCCTAGATCGCACTAGTCTGGATCAGTCTGCACCAATAGATAATAGTGATTGTCAGCAGAAAGAGGAGGGGTCAGGAGAGGAAGTACCGAAGGAGGAGGAGACTGGAGACTTTATGGACTTCCCTGTCATAGAAGTGGCAGAGCAGCTGACACGATTGGACGCTGTAAGTGTCAATCATCTTTATAACTCGACCCTTTCTGTTCAATCACTCTGCATGAATGACAAAGCTTACAAAGTTTATTTCCCCTCCCTCCCGCCCTTCTTCCTATAGGAGCTCTTCATCAAGGTGGTCCCGTTCCAGTGCCTGGGCTGTGTCTGGTCTCAGCGGGACAAGAAGGAGAGCCGCAACGTGGCGCCCACTGTCCGCGCCACCATCGCCCAGTTCAACGCCGTCACCAACCGGGTCATCACCTCCCTGCTGTGTCCCTCGTCAACGTCTCCGAACTCGGTCTCCTCCTCAACCCCGAGTCTATCCACGGCCCCTAGCTCCCCTCTCCTCCCCCACACCAGCCCCACCCTCAGGGCCAGGGTGATAGAGAGGTGGATTGCCATAGCACAGGTCAGCAAAGCCAGATAGAACATACATAAATGTATACTATCTACATTTGAGATCTTTAGAGACATGTTTGGCTATAAAATAAATAAATATATATTTATCAATGTTATTGTGCAATGAAAATCAGGAAAAGTGGCTAAATGTGACATTGTGTTTGGTCGTGTCCTCTGTAGGAGTGCAGAACGCTGAAGAACTTCTCCTCTCTGAGAGCCATCCTGTCAGCCCTGCAGTCCAACGCTGTGTACCGCCTCAAGAAGACCTGGGCTGCCGTCAACAGGTGAGATATGCAGAGGCGCAGCAGGTTTACACTTTGTCAGCCAGTGATTCTGAGGGTAAGTTTCTCAGACCCAGATTTACTCTACTTCTGGCCTGAAAATCACTCGGATATTCTCCTTTGAGCGGAAAACAACCCTGAATATGGTGGCTGAGATGCATACTGCACATTTTTGAAAACTGACCATTTATTTTATTTTAGGGATTGTATGGCCTGTTTCGACCAGCTGTGTGAGACGTTCCCAGATGAGAACTGTGTTATGACCAGCAGAGAGATCCTGGTGGAGGTAAGAACCACAGAATATAACCATAGAACGGAACGGAACAATAACCATAGAGTTCTAATTCTACCACTTAAAAAGGCTTTTTCCACCTGAGTAGTAACATTTACTGTACCTCCATCTTTGTTCCGTGAGCTGTTATTAATTTTTTACATTTAATTTTTAGTCATTTAGCAGACTATCCAGAACAACTTACAAGAGGAACTAGGGTTAAGTGCCTTGCTCAAGGGCACATCGACAGATTCTTTAACCTAGTCAGCTCAGGGATTCGAACCAGCTACCTTTCGGTTACTGGCCCAATGCTCTTAACCACTAGGCTACCTGCCGCCAACTAAAAGACTGATATGGGTGTTAATACAGTATAATGATAGGGCTGTTATCATATCTGAAGTGTACACTTCAGCACAAAAGAGCCATTGTACTGTATATGGCTAGCAGATGGCCACACAATCAAATAGGGTCAGTCATATCCGATAGCACTGTCTATCTATTTTCACTTTTACTTGTTGGCTTTGTTGACGGCCCACATCTAAAGGTGGCGGATTCAATATGACTGCCAGTTTCGGGCTGGGCACATTATGAGTCACACTGCTTTGACTGAACCCACACACACCTCTGGGTAAAACCAGCAACATCTATTACCAGGCGGAGGTGACTTGGTGTGTGTTGAGCAGAGGACGCTGGTGAGGATGGCTCATAATAATGGATGGAATGGAGTGAATGGAATGGGATACATGGGAAAACCAGGTGTTTGATACAATTCCATTTAGTTTCAGCCATTACTATGAGCCCGTCCTCCCCGTTTTAAAGTGCCACCACTGGCTGAATCTAAAGAAGGGTGTGTGCTTGTGTTTATAGGTGATTCATTGGTCAATCTCAGCCTTATCATGACAGGGGGACACCCAATCAGACACCACACCCAATAATAATAACTAAGTAGTTATTCATTAATTAATTAATAAACTATGTACTGCACTCACTGTACAATAAGTATTATTTAACAGCTATTTGGCTTGCTATGATTGCCCTACCCATCTCATATCAAACTCCATGTACTTGTTTAAGCCAAAACAAGTAGAATGAGGTAGCATGACTGTGAATAATACACACTATTCCAAAGCAGTCTCACATGTAAGAACCTTTTAGAAGCTTTTATTGATTCTTGGCTAATGGCTGGCAATTGAATGATTTGCTCTGCCCCTTTTGTACCAAGCCTAATGTGACTGTTGTTTTTGCTGTTCTCTAGGATGGCAGCCAGCCAGATGACAACGCCACCCCCAAGTCACCCCGGCTGTGCCCCATGTCTAAACAGATGGTAAGACTACTTCCTGTCTGTGCTGTAGGTGTTCTAACATGATCTGTACTGTACTAAAATGATATAACTTCTGTCTATGAGCACCTTCAGTATATTGGGTGAACAGCTAGCATGCTGGTAATATTCAGTTACTGCCCACAACAATCGTGCGAATCCATTGAAAAATCAGCCGACCATTATGTGGCTTCCTTATTCTTTGACTTTGGACCACAGAGCACGATAGACGCGGAAAAAGACTAAAATAATACTGTTAGCTCAGCAAACAAGTCTCTTCCTAATGCTTTAGAGAGGAAAGAGGAAGTGAGGTAGGAATACCCTTTAATGGTCCTGACCCGTCCTAGTTTCAACTTCTCCGTAACAAGTCACATGCAGCCTGAGGCTGTGATACTGGGTGCATCCCGAATGGCACCCTATTTTCTATATAGTGCACTACTTTCTGGTCAAAAGTAGTGCTGTATTTAGGGAATAGGGTGCCATTTGGGTCAGACAGTGATCGACCACAGCTGAGATTTCCTAATATAGATCTCTCTCCGTTCCAACCTTCCTCCTTTTTAATTTCCATCCTCTCGTGAAGTGGAAACTCTTAGTCAGCTCAAATCACAACAGTTGCCTTTTGCCACACTTTAATGACACTTGAATTTACGTTGTACAAAGTTGACTTAACTTAGACCCTTTTAGTCATCGTGGATCATCATAGTTCAGCATTGTGTCAATGTTGTATAAAGGTTAGGTGATGATGATTCTGTCTATGCTTTGTGTATGAACATGATCGCCGTGAACTGTTATATGACCACTATCCCGTTGTCCCTCACACAATATAAACTGTTTACATTGTTTAGAACATATGTGTTCCAATGGCTCCATATTTAGTTCACTACTTTTGACCAAGGGTCTGGTAAATTAGTGCACTAGGCAGGAATAGGGTGCCATTTGGGACGCATATAAAATAATCTAGCATAGGCTGCTCTATGACGTAGTGTCTTACAGTCTTATTGTCCCTCAAACAGAGCCCTACCAGTGGTGTCGTCCCCTACCTGGGCACCTACCTGACAGTCCTCACCATGCTGGATACTGCACTCACAGACACAGTAGAGGTGAGATCAAAATACTAATATCTAACCCAATTTAATCAGTATGAGTGTGGCTTTGTGATGTGGCCTTCCTAGACTTTTTGGTGGTCAGAACATCACACAACTTTTCACTCATATTTATATGAGCCACTTTCCTTGTCTATTATTTGTCTGCATTTACAATGATCTGATACATGTGCGATCATTTCAACCCTATTTGTATCCCAATTCACAGGGTGGCCTCATCAACTTTGAGAAACGTAGACGGGTAAGTGTCACCCCCTAGTGGTTTTTAAAATAAATGCAACCGATCTCAGTAACCATACAGTACTGTGTGAGTTGGCTGTATCATGACATTCTCTCCCTCCCTCCCTCAGGAGTTTGAGATCCTGTCTCAGATTGGCCAGCTGCAGGCGTTCTGCTCCTGCTACAGCCTCCCAGTAGACCAGACCATCTCAGCCTGGCTGCAGAACCACACCATGCTCAATGACCAGGAGAGTTATGAGCTGTCCCGTGCTCTGGAGCATCCGGTCGACCCTTGTCCAAACTCCCCCTCTTCCTGGAGCCACCGCCTGCTCGCCAAGAAGCTCGCCTCGTAAGTCTGACCTTCCTATGGCTGAAATGTCAAGAATCCTTTCTAACATTGTGTATTATTTACCCTGTGCCACTCACTCTCTAACCATATACAAAACTTCACTGTGTTGTAGCTAGTCTGGGTACCGGTCTTTTCTAGCTAACATTCCACTCCTGTCATCTCTCTTTGTCTTCAGCCAATGACAGGAGTGTATTTAGTATTTTAATGAGAAATAAAATAAAAATATATATTTGAATACAAAATATACTCCTGTCATTGGCCAAATACAAAGAGTGGCAAGGAGTGGAATGTTAATTAAAAAGACTGGTACCCAGGCTATAGTGTAGCAGTCTGTTATTGAATTGTTTTGCCATTTTAGGAATGTTCCTAATCTATTGAGGAAAAAGAAGTAGCAAGAGTGCTTCAGGTATTCCCAAACACCCACAGGTGCTCTTAGAGGGGAATAGTCATTGAAAAGGAAAAATTATAACCACAAATGGGTGTTAAGTGGTGTAAAAAATCATAGTCCAGGCACTCGTGTGGGTTTGAAAGTTAAAAAGCCTTTATTGTGTGGGCTAAATCATTATTAAAATACACAAGCGCGTATCGGCTAACGCCGTCATCAGGGCGTCCGTCTATACCTAAACCCTATTGAACATGTGAGTGTTTTGAGGTATTTGTGAGCACTTGAAGTAACTCTTTCCGTTTTCTTGTGTGTGTAGGCTGCTGTCGGTCACTGACGTCTCCAGCAGAAAGACCCATTCAGACCAGATCAGTGTGTCATCATCAGGCTCCAGTGGTTCTGAGATGGAGGATCTGTCCTCACCACAGCCCCTCAGAGACAAACTCAAGGTACATACCCTTGTTCAGTATTTATCTTGTCCTATACCATGTCCAGGGTTCAATCAGATCTGGGTTCAAACAGATCTGGGTTCAAGTATTATTTGTTCTCGTTCAAATATTTTTAGCATTTGATTGAGCCTGCCTGGAGAGCCGTTTGGGTAGGGTTTACACTTTGGGGAGTATTCTATTGGTTCCAATGTGCCAGGCAAGCTCAATAAAGCACAGCTAAAGTACTGTTTGAATCCAGGTCTGAAGTTACATGTTGACCTTGTTTATGTATATCAATTACGTTATTAGCCAGTTAGCGTGGAGCATTTATCTAATCTCTTTCTCGTCCTCTCTCCCAGTCTCTGTCAGGCTCGCTCCACAACGTGTCTGAAGAACTCTCCTCCAACAACTCCTCCCCCACTCCCTCCAACACCTCCTGCAGCTCCTCCCAGCCCGACCTCTCCTACTCCTCTATGGCCATGAGCCCTGACTGCTCTTCCTCCTCAGCCTCCTCCTGTTTCCTCCTCCTCCTCTCCTCAGTGCTGTAAGCCTGTCTATAACAAGCAGGTAGCTGACTCCTGCATCGTGAGGGTCAGCGTGGAGTGTGGCAACAACGGCAACGTCTATAAGAGCATTCTGGTGAGTGAACTCTTAAGAACTATTCATCTGTGAGTTGACAAAGCAAATACTCCCTTAAAGTGCACATATCTTTCCTCACTGGTTAGGGATGGTAGTTGATTTTCTAGATTGTAGTAATAATAATAACTGGGGTTTTATTTTTGCAGAATTTCCACCTTATAAGAGTGTACACTTCAAGCAGCTGATATGTCCAGTGTGTTCTACTAACCCTGTCTCTCTGTGCCTCTTGTTCAGCTGACCAGTCAGGACCACACTCCCCAGGTGATCCAGAGGGCCCTGGAGAAACACAACCTGGAGAACATGAGCTGTACAGACTTCGGCCTCACACAGCTGCTGGCCCAGGACAAAGGTGAGCTCAGTCAGAGTAGGAAAAAGCTTACTCTCCCTTGTCTCCTTTCTTCCTCTGCACTTTTAAACTGCATTTTGCATTGCTTTCACCTCTGTTGTTGATCAGTGCAGATAAAGGAGAGGAGACAAGGAGAAGCCACCATAGACTATTGAGATACACCCCAAATGTGTATGGCACTCAGTAATATCCCCATACAACCCATACTGATCTATATGTCCCCTCCATCTCCCACCAGAACTTCAGATCCCTGACAAGGCCAACGTGTTCTACGCCATGTCCACCTCAGCCAACTACGACTTTGTCCTCCGCCAGCGCTGGAGGAGCCACAGCAGATGCCTGGGCACTTCTTCTAGCCCCGGGCCCCAGGCCAGGGGACGCCACGCCAAGTAGACAGACCCACAGCGCCACCTCCTGGTCTGGAGGGAGAACTACTACTGCAACAAAAAAAAGGGGGGGGGGAAATGGAATTGTGCCCCACTGGAACCATGGTGTGTTCACTGTATGTGGACAGGAACTGAGCTAGCTGCCGATGGACAGTAGAAATGCACATTTAAGCCATTAATTGGCCATACAGCCTGAGAACTTGCATTGTGAACACATTATGAAGCTTCTGCACCAGAACGTGGTTGACTCGTCATTGGAAAGGAGATTCTTTTGATATTTAAGGTTGGGACTAGATGCATTCCAGGAGGTTCTATATTGAAGGATTGAAAGCCAAGAGCGACAAATATGCCAAGAGGTGCCGTTTTGATGGGACAAGTATGTGGAAGATGGAGTACTCAGAGATTGAAACTGAACAGGTGAATTAAAGTGATGCCAGCAGACATTCTGTGGCCTTATATCCACTTCGGTGCATTTAAGCCATATGGAAGACGTGAGAAATCAACCACCTATTCCAGATCAGCCATTTATTTTCAACACAAGACTAACACCAGCTAATGTCAACAAATATGCTATAGCACTTTAGAATGTTGACCAGTGTATCTAACCAACACTCCAACTGCACTGCATGTGTAAAGCCATCTTCTGACGATCCTTTTGCCAAGCTATTGTTATTCATTTAGCTCCAAACAGCAAAGACAGGTCTCACATAATGATGCGGTCCATATGGGCTGAGGGACGACCTTTCACATGGTCAACACCCCTGGGTACGCTGTTCTGACACTTCAGAAAGGGAGGAAGGATGGGTGCATTTCTTAAGTATTGGAACAGGGTGTGTTCTATAGGCTTTAGGTAGTGGTGAATGTGAGGATCGTTAACTGGAGAAACGGCATTCCCTAAGCAGATAAACGCTGCTTCAGGAAGATTGTGTGTATATATACACATACAGACCGAGACAGAAATTAATAACATATGATGATAGTGTTATTAGCAATATGTATATAGACCAGATCGTTTAAGTAATTATTGTCAATGGTAAGTATGAAAAATGTATGCACTCACTAACTGTAAGTCGCTCTGGATAAGAGCGTCTGCTAAATGACTAAAATGTCAAATGTAAACTGTGTAAGTTGCATTTCAGTGTTTCAGCTTTGAGCGAGGTGGTTATTATTATTATTATTATTATTATTTTTACAAATTTATAAAGTGATCTTATTTTTTAATCTGTTGTTTTTGTCATTTTTATGAGTGGGCTTTGTTCAATGGAAATTCTCTCCTAATATTGCATTTGTACATTTTTAGCATTAAATAGGTAGCTCATATTAGGAGTTTATATGAATCAGAGACCACGCCCCTGCAGTGCCCGGTAATGTACAATATGTTTTATGTCTTAACAATAATGGAAAGATGTCACTTTAATTCTCTATCAGACTGTTATTTTGAATGTCAAATGAAGGATATGCACAGTGTACAAAACATTAAGGACTCTTTCCATGACATGGACTGAACAGGTGAAAGCTATGATCCCTAATTGATGTCACTTGTTAAATCCACTTCAATCAGTGTCGATGAAGGGGAGGAGATGGGTTAAAGAAGGATTTTTAAGCCTTGAAACAATTGAGACATGGAATGTGTATGTGTGCCATTCAGAGGTTGAATGGTCAAGACAAAAGATTGAAGTGCCTTTGAACGGGGTATGGCAGTAGGTGCAAGGCGCACCGGTTTGTGTCAAGAACTGCAACGCTACTGGGTTTTTCACGCTCAACAGTTTCCTGTGTGTATCAAGAATGGTCCACCACCCAAAGGACGTCCAGCCAACTTGACATGACTGTGGGAAGCATTGGAGTCAACATGGGCCAGCATCCCTGTGGAATGCTATCGACACCTTGTGAAGTCCATACCCCGACGAATTGAGGCTGTTCTGAGGGCAAAAGGTTGTGGTACAACTCCAATATTAGTGTTCTTAATGTTTTGTCCACTGTGTGTTTTCTATACATATGACTACAGTCTTTCTGAAGAAATGCCTAAAAAGAGAGCAGAGGAGGGAGAGGGTTTCCCCCAAACAATGTCTTATAACAGCCACCCATGGTAAAAAAAAAAAAAGCTGACTACACGAGAATGACGATTGAATGTGGATGTTGAAAGCTACAGAATGTGATGGTGTTATTTAAGGTGAATTCATTAGCAGGTGTGAGGGTAGTGGATGGTTGGTGAATGTGGGTATTGCTCATAGTGTTGTGAAATGTGGAACTGTTTACAAGTCAAATGGGGAGACAACAGAGCACAAGCATGAAAGGATATTTTGTACTGCCTAACATTTAGCTGAAACTCCTATCAGTGTTTTATTTGGAGAGCCATTAGTCGTGTGTGTGTGTGTACGTACGTTTTATTAGATTTGTGAGTACCAGAATAGTAAACCAACAAAACTTCAGAAGCGAGGACATTTGGCCGGTCTGATATTTTAGGGTTAAAATTAGGGTTGGGTGTTAAGGTTTTGGGTTAGGGTTAGGCAAAATAGTATTTTGAATGGGAATCATTGTTGGTCCCAAAAAGTCTTCAGAAGTATAGTAAGACATAGTTGTGTTTAATTCAAGCACTTGCCTTTTCAATGTCACTTTATTGTTTTAAACTATGTAATATTAATAAAGATTATTAATATACTCAACTCATGTTGACTTTGCATTATATATCTTACACACTATCACATAGTCCATGCAAAAAATATAGCTTTGGTGATAGTTGTGACAGGGTAATAACCTTAGTTTTGGTCAGTGTTTCCCCTTGGATCATAATTAGGGAGGGACCGGTTAAAAAGTAACAAAAAACCATCCCTTAGACCTGTGCAGGTGAGAATTTGTGTACCTGATGTTTGTAGAGACTGGTGTAGATGCTATGCTGTGTCTGAGAACCATTTTGAGAACCATGTTGTTTTTGAAGAAAGGTTTTGGGTGGGGTAAGGTAATTGTACTAATGTGTGTTTACTTTGATTATCAGTGTTTGTTTATTGAGTTTTGACAGACTATTGCATTATCATTTATTGCTTTATCAGTTAAAAATACATTACTGTCACTGCAGTAATGTATTTTTCTTTGAGGTTTATTCTGTTTTATAGGTGTTATATTGAACCCGTCCTCCATTGAAGTGATTGTCTTTCAGGTGATCTATTTGTATTTCAAAAATATTTACCGTTGACGTTTAAATGCAGTGGCTGACTTTGAGCGTTTAATAAATTACATTTCATTTGGGCTATGCTCTTTCTCGCCACATGGTGGCACTACAGTCTGAGTGGAACCATGAAACCGATATGGCCGGGGTCAAGTATTATTTGACAAAGATCCAAATGGATATTGTCATTTATCAGTGTAGTAACATATCCCCACTTCGCAACCCATGCAATCCCAAACTGTTCACACCCCTTTTGTTAGCAATTCTACACATTTTGCCATGTCTTACGTGTGTTCATATGATACTAGGGGTCGAAGCCCGACTGAGTTCGCCCACGTTTTTGTATTATTTATTTATTTATTTTTGTCTGGAATCCCGGTCCGTATTGACCCCGTTCTGGGTCCCTACCCGGATGGCGGTCCGCCTGTTGAATATTCATTTTACATTTACATTTTAGTCATTTAGCAGACGCTCTTATCCAGAGCGACTTACAGTTAGTGAGTGCATACATTATTATTATATATATATATATATTTTTTTTTTCATACTGGCCCCCCGTGGGAATCAAACCCACAACCCCGGAGTTGCAAACGCCATGCTCTACCAACTGAGCTACATCCCTGCCGGCCATTCCCTCCCCTACCCTGGATGACGCTGGCCCAATTGTGCGCCGCCCCATGGGTCTCCCGGTCGCGGCCGGCTACGACAGAGCCTGGATTCGAACCAGGATCTCTAGTGGCACAGCTAGCACTGCGATGCAGTGCCTTAGACCACTGCGCCAATCGGGAGATAGCTGAGCTTGGCTCATCTTGGCAATGGCCTCCACCTTCTCAGCATCCACTGACACACCGTCCTCTTTAATGATATGTCCGAGGAATTTCACTGTTCTTCGTAGGAAGTGGCATTTCTTTGGTGCTAGTTTGAGATTGTTGGCACTTAGACGGCTAAACACAACTTCAAGTCGCTGCAGAGCCAGTTCCTCGGTGAGTGCAAAGACCAACAAGTCATCTAGGTAACAAAGGAGATTTGAGAAATGTAGGTCCCCAAATATACTTAACATCATTCTCATGAAAGAGGCCGGGCTGTTACACAGACCTTGTGGCATGCGATTGTACTCATAAAGTCCCATCGGTGTGGTAAAGGCTGTGTACTTCTTGTCCTCTTCATGAACTGGAATGTTATAAAATCTTGAGGTCAAGTCCATGGTGCTGAAAAATGCACTGCCACCAAGGGCTGCGAGGCAATCTGCTTGATGAGGAAGGGGATGAGCGTCCTTCACCGTTCGTGCATTCATCCACCTGAAGTCAGTGCATAACCTCAGACTCCCGTCTTTCTTCCATACCATGACTAAAGGGGAGGCATACTCACTAACCGACTTGCGTATAAGGCCTACTTCCTCCATATCTGTTAATACCTTCCTCAGCTTCAGGTAATGAGCAGGCGGAACCCTTCTGTATGGTAGGCGGAAGGGTCTGTCATCAACCAGATGGATACGGTGAACATAACCCCTGGCTTCTCCGCAGTCCAGATTATGTCTTGAGAAGATGTCTTCATATTTTGTGATGGTATTCACAAGCTTCTCCTTCCACTGGTCAGTCACTTGGCATCCATCAATGTCGATGTCTCCTAATCCTAGATCAGACAGTCTTTGTTTCAGGTTGTGGCAGCCATTGTCATCCTGCTTCTGTTCCACTGGGGTTTTCCTCACCTCATGAACCCCAGAAAAATTGTTGCATCCTCAACAGCCAAGCATGTAGACACATCGGCCAGCTTCATGTTACGTCTTAGAGTGAGATGTTTATCTGAACAGTTTACTACCTTTAAAGTGACCAAGCCATCTCCCCACATGGGCGTAATAACTCTACCCACAAGTATGTTTCTGGGCATGACCTTTGACCTGGTAGGCTCGACTATTACAG